TGTAATAGTAGACCTAATTAAAAAAAATTTGAATTAATAAATTATACTACTAATGCCTTAATTCAAACAGATTTCTTTAATGGAAAATTACTCGCAACGTTGAATAATTTCAAAAACGATAAATATAATGAATATTTTACTCACTTGAATAATTATTTGTGGAATATTCCTAAAAAAAATATCAAAAAATGCACCCCAAATAATTACAACATCCAAAATATTTTCAAGAATATTAAATATATTAATTTTCTCGTAATTGCGTAATATTTTAGTGCACATAAGCAAGTCTCTTAAAATCATCAAATATTCATAATCAGTTGCTACCAAAATAATTAGCATAATTACTAAGCCTCGATGTTTCATAACCCATTCTTTAAAATCTTTATTAATAAAGGGATTTTTAATTCCTTTAGAAATAGTATAAATTGCTATATAAAAATTTATGTATAATGGAACACTCAGGACAATTATACTTCAAATAGTGTTTTGCATGATCAAAAAATAAAGTTAATAATGATTTAATATTAATTTAATGATAATAGAAAAATTTATTTAGCAAAATATACCTTGACCAGTAAAGCTCCGTCACATTTTTAGAATCATAAACAATAAAGAGAACTGAAAGAATAAAATTAGGGATGATTAATCCAATTCTTAAGATTGCAAAACTTAGTGCCTCAAATTTTTTTGATTTAAACTTTTTAAATATAATAAAAAAATTTGTAAATATTTGGGATAAAAATTTTTAAAAGAATATTGATAAAGTAAATTTACCTTATAGCTAAGTATATGAAATAATAAGAATAGTATTAAAAATATCAAAATTCCGATAAGTATCGCTATTTGCGTCTTGAAGTCATTCCATACATTCCCTACAATATGAAAATTAGACATGAAATTTTTAATTCTGAATCATTTCTTGCGAAACAATTAACTCACGTCTTGGTTGAAAGCCATAATCATTGTCTAGATCATTTGTAACATTGAGAGAGAAGGTAGTGATATTTTTATAAGTTATCATAGTATTTATATCTGAAAATACCTCCGAAGCCGTCCTTTTAATTTTATTATTATTTATATTTATACGAATTAAAATAACAATTTGATCATAAAATGCATTATAGAATCTATTATCTGAACTTAAGCAAGAACGGTTTATCGGCACTTTTTTAGCAAGCTCATTTAATAAATTATCGATGCGTTCTAATTGCTTATTTTTGTGAAGTGCTAAGAATTGTTTTGAGGCAGCTTTTGTGAGACGTACTGAGCCCATAATAGCTTTATCTGTAAGGAACCACAATAAGAATCGTGTGAAGTATTTTAAATGAGCATAAATATAATGCGTACTACCTGAATCATTTTTCTGATTATCTAAGATGTCTAAATGTCCAAAAGTTAAAAGATTAAGTGTCTAATAATTTCATTCAAAAGATAAGTTGAAAAAGTATTACCTGTTTTAAGAGTCCAGATACCATCATGAATTCCTTTTAAAGGTTCATAAAAGAAATCTTGAACAAAATTATTATCCATAGTCACAAAATATTGTTCGCCATATTCATTGAATGTACTTTTAATTACTGGTATACTGACAACAGTAAATTCGCTGATGTTACAGAAATTATCCATTGTTGCTGAAATTCTTTGTCTAATGCTATTGTCGGAGGCTTTGTAGATGGTGATGTTGCTAGTGATGTTGCTAGTTGGCGTTGACAAAGCAATTAAATCATTAAAAGAGATGTTTAGGTAGGTCGTTGATGAATTGACAGTAGCATTGATTGATGGAATAGTTTGGCTTATCAGGACATTATTATAACCATAGTCTAAATAGAGAAACATTAACATTACATAATATATATATATATTTAAGTTATAATTAAATAAGTATACTCAACCATTGAAAGTAGAATAATTAAGTATTGGAATATTGAGCAAAGACCAAGAA